AAATACTCATAACCCTCTGGTTCTACCTTCCAACCAGAGACGGATCTTCCCTTAGAATTGGTGTATTATATAAACCCCTAGGACAGACTGAAGATTATGATAACTTTTTGATTGACGAGATAACTCAAATGGCAATGAAGGAGGTTTTGATTGGTGACTTCAACATGCTAGATATTAATTGGAATTCTCAAACTGCTATTACAAGCAAGAACAGGGATGTAATGGAAGCACTGAATGGGCTTTCTCTAAAACACTTAGTAAAAAGTCCAACCCGAGGTGATCATATTCTAGAACTAGTACTGACAAATGGGGATCGACTGTCTTATGTTGAGGTGGGAGAAAATTTGGGTTCCAGTGATCACCAATGTCTTTGGTTTGATATTAAAATAAGAACTGAAAAATCATACAAAAAGAAAAGTTTTAGATTTCAAAAAGACGTATTTTGCTGAAATGGGTGAATTTCTAAAAATAAATTGAAAAGTTGGAGTAAAACGACAGGAATAAATAATCAGTGGGCACTGTTAAAGTCTACCATCCTGGAGGCAACTAGATTATATGTCAGGAAAGTTGGTAAGAATTAAAGGAAATAAAAACCAAATTGGTTCATTAAAGAGATAAGTAGGATAGTAAATGGAAAAAAATCAGCATATAGGAGATTCAAGGAAACAGGAGGTGTAGCTGACAGAGAAGAGTATAAGAATAGACAAAAGGAGCCAAACACATTATCAGCACTGCAAAAGACAGAAAGAAGAGGAAATAGCTAAATCTATTAGGAAAGGAGATAAAACATTTTTTAGGTACATCAGAGACAGAAAAAATACAATGGGATCACTAAAATGAAAACTGGGCACAACACTTATTTTGAGGGAGACCTGGATATAGCAAACCACTTAAACACTTACTTTTGTTCAGTCTTCGCAGAAATAAATTATACTAAGAATAATAAGTTGGGAAAACATATTGGTTTCAGTAATGATGGCTCATTTTCTGGATTTCCGGAAAGGTAGCAGAGGAACTGGCTCGGTCTAAGATTAATAAAGCAATGGGCCCTTGTGGTATTCCTCCCAGAGTTCTAAAAGAACTTTGAGGTATAGTTGTTAACTGATCTTTTTAATCAATCTCTTCTAAAAGGAGAAGTTTTTCCCAGGACTGGCAGATAGCTAATATTGTACCTATCCACAAGAAGGGCAGCAAAGTAGAAGTTGGCAATTACAGGCCAGTGAGTTTAACATCGGTTGTAGTCAAGTTAATGGAATCACTCCTGAAAAGAAGGATCATTGATCATTTAGAAAACACACAACTTGTTGGACCCAAAGCAGCATGGCTTTACCGAGGGCAGATCATGTCAGACTAATCTGATTGGATTGTTTTTTACTATATTACCAATGTTTTGGACCAGGGTGGTGCTGTGGACATAGCATATCTTGACCTCAGCAAGGCATTTGATATGAAATTATATTTCAATGTTTCTAAATGTAAAATAATGCACCTAGGGAAAAAAGAGAGAGTACAACATTAGGGGTACAGTGTTGGCCAGCACTTCAGAGGAAAAGGACTTGGGGGTACTTATTTCAGATGATTACAAAATGAGGAAACAGTGTGGCCAGGCAGTGGGGAAAGCAAATAGAATTCTAGGATGTATCACTAGAGGGGTCACCAGCAGGAGGAAGGAGATCATGATTCCCTTATATAGATCTTTAGTTAGACTTCATTTAGAATGCTGTGTCCAGTTCTAGAGACCTCACTTACAAAAATATATTGATAAGAATGAGTCCAAGGATGGGTAACAAAAATGGTGAAAGGTCTGGGGGATAAAAAACATATCAAGAGCGACTTCAGGAACTTAACATGTACAGTTTGGAGGAAATATGGGAAAGGGGAGACATGATTGAAACCTTTAAATACATCAGGGGGGTGAATAAGATTCAGGAGGGCAGTATTTTCAACACAAAAACAAAATCAAGAACACGGGGACATGACTTTAAACTAACTGAAGGAAAGTTCAAAACTAATATCAGAAAGTACTATTTTACTGAAAGAGTTGATGCTTGGAACATTAAGCAGAAGTAGTGAGCCAGTCAACAGTAAATAGCTTCAAACATGCTTGAGAAAAGCATAGATCTATACTCAGACAAAAAAGTTAACAATCCCCCAAAAAAAACAAACTGTCACGTACCTGGATAGTGAGCCTGATGTGAAGAGGCAGGCCTCCGGTACAGCTCGAGGGCTACTGATAGTGGGGCAGTGGCCGAAGGAGCACGGCGAGGTATAAGTGCCTGTGATCAGTCCAGCAGACAGTGTTTCAGCAGTAGCCGGCAGGCAGGGGAAGCAGCAGGACAGACCGATGCCAGATATCCTTGCATGAACCTCAGAAAGCTGGAGGTTAGTAGCGAGGAGCAGGTTTCAGATGCTGGAAGGATGGATCGCTGGGGAGCAGGATGAGGATGCTAGGTCAGACAAGCCAGGTCGGAAACAGTCGGGCAGATCAGACATAAACGGCAGGAGGTAGCGTAGTCGGGTCACAGGCCAGGTCAGCAGCAGAAGTTCAATCAGAAAAGAGCAAGAGGCAGAAGAGTAATCCAAGACAAGCTGGGGGTCAGGGCAGGCAGCAGACAAGCGGAGGTCAGGAACAAGCTGGTTCAGTATCAGGAGTCATGTACAAGGTTCAGGATTCACACTCAGGAGCTAAAGACCAAAAGGCAAAGAGATAATACTGTAGCCAGATTAAATAGCGCTTTTGGTGCCAGAATTAGTGACAGGTGTGCACCTGGATGTGCGAGTGCGCATGTGCGCACCTATGTCCATGAATATGCACATCTGTCCAGCCCGTCACTGTTCTGCACGTGCGCATATTTGTGCCCTGCAAATCTTCACCTGCGTTATGGGCAAGCCTTTCTTGACACAAACACAAAAAAAACTAAAACAAAAACAAACCCCCCCCCCTTCCCAAAAAAACACACACAAAAAAAAATGGGCATACTTGATGGACCATTCCTTTTCTGCTGTCACTTTTCTATGTTTTCTATCTTACTCTTCAGGGCTGTCCTGACCCCCTTGCCAAGCCTCCTGTAGAAAACCTTCTACTTCTAATAGGATTGCTTCACCTGCCAATAGTCATCCTTGACAAAGAATGGCATTCTCCAATTGAACGCATCAGACTAGGCTTAGGGTGATGTTATCGGGTTAGGAGAGGCCCCCTTTTTGATTACAGTCAAGCAGTACATGGTCCACTATCCACCAGAGCATCTGTGGCTGGGGCTTTTCATGGAAGATTAGAGCTCCTACTCGTTATGCCCCATTGACAGCTTTAGAGCAGTATTACCTTACAGGCACCTCAAACAGTGTGGGACTACAAGGCACAGCACACCTGATCATCCCCAGCTAGGGTTTTCTGAGTATGTGCTGTTTTGTTTGAGGAGTGGCTTTAACACTTTGCTACGAGAATGTTGTTTTGCAGTTTTTACAATGTGGTGTTATGGACTAAGTTACTTTGTCTATATTGCAAGCGTTACCCGAGAACATGGTTTCATTCTGCAAAATAGGTAAGTATGTCAATAGAATGGACAATTGGCTAAATGATCAGAGAATGTCTGCAGCTTGCATTTTACTATACAGTTAAAAAGTTGATTCAATAAGGCAAATAGGGTCAGAATGGTGAAGAGCATGCATACACTACAGAATTATGAAAGCTGCAAAAACATGGACTCTTCCCAGCTATATCTTTGTGACTCAACTAGGGTAACTTGTGGCTGCATAGAATAGTCCAGAGAGTCCAGCTAAGAATTACTACTTCAGTAAAAACGTGCAGAACAAAGCTACACACAATTATCCTCTCTGACAGTGTCCCTCTCAGTGAAGATCAGGGTAGTTCTGGTAACACAGGTGAATAGCAGGAGGGATCCAAAAACCTAAGGATGAAGTGATACCTCACAAGAACTAAAGCACACTGGTATTAATTGGGGGGGGGGGGGGCTTCACAATCTTCCAGATAAGCTGCATGCCATTGGGCAGCTATCCATGTATCCACAGTTCTGACAGTGAAGGGCCTCACATGTGGCTGTTGATCACTTGCCCAACTACCTTTGCTTCATCAGGTGTGTGCTTTCTGAGTTTTTGGGAAGTGAAGCAGATACATTTATCTTCCCTGGGCATGTCCGGAAACACAGGGAAATATTGGGGAAAAAGCTAAAGGGACCTCTCAGCACTCAGCTACAGTATTGCATAAGCCCCCAACTCTCCTTCATTTGAAAGGTCTCTTCCATCTGTCCTTCTTTCAGCCTTAGCCATCCCTTTTTTTGATCAGATGCATTATTTACCTACCAAAGGGGATTTGCTGCACTAAAACTATTGTCTACCCTATACATCATTGCATTAGGTATTCTGAAAAAGCCAGTGTAAGGATCAAGTCATTATAAAAAATATGGGTTTGACCAATATTTTTTTTTGCATAATAATTCTTCACAGTCTGTATAACTGGGAGTTTGGCAGGGGTCTGTCCTTTGCCTACATACAATGCTAAAAGTTGTCTCTCATTCCCATCTCTAAAAATTAGGAGGCTGGTATCAGTGTATGATCCTTTTAATCCTCTTGAATTCGAAAAGGTTTACCTTAAAGACACCACAGGAAAATATGATCATTTGCTGTTCTTTGGCTGCTTTATATTGAAGATCCATGATATATCGTCTGCTTGTTTCTGCAACTAAAACATTCTGGGTACTGTGTGTGGTTTGGAACCTTAGCCTGAGCCATGCAGGACCACTTGTTAACCTGACAAATGCTATCTCTGGATTTTTTTGTTGACTGCTAGAAACCCTGTACAATGTTACAACTGCATGACTGCTGAATAGAGCTTTCCACAGTGTTAGCATTGTGCATCACTCCTCTCCCTCCATAGCTCAGAGGGGTGGATCTATTTAGCATATCTAGGAATACAGAGCTGAAGCTGGCCTGAAATCATTCTGTCTAAACACTGCCTGCTGCTGCATCCACAATCCCTTAATATGTCTGCAATTATTTTTATTTTACAGCTCATAATGGCTATTTTAATGCTTCCTTTCTATATCCTTTACTACCTTGGAATCTGGGGTTTCATAGTAAAGAAAATATTTCCCTTGTTTGTATCCAGAATCTCTGTGTCATATAACAAGGTGATGGAAAACTATAAAAAGCGGCTATTTAGCAACCTATCTGACTTTGCAGGCTCCTCTAAAGAGCTCAGGCTTCTAGAGGTCGGTTGTGGCACAGGTGCCAACTTCAGATTCTACCCCAGTGGATGCAAAGTGACCTGCCTGGATCTTAACCCAAACTTTCAAAAATTTCTCAGAAAAAGCCAAGCAGACAATGACCACCTAAAATATGATGGATTTTTGTTGGCATCAGTGGACAACATGACATCAGTGGCTGATGCCTCAATGGATGTGGTTGTATGTACCCTGTTGACTTGTTCTGTGCCAAGCACACCAGCAGTACTGAAAGAGGTGCAGAGAGTCCTCAGGCCGGTGAGTTTTTAAGATTACAGCAGCTCTCAATGTAGCACAAGTTGGAAAGCAAATGGTAATAATTGATTGGTTGCTATAGGCTTTGTTGAACTCTGAACAATAAACACCCAGGTGCACTTTCCAGCTCCTCTATTATAGTAACTTCTGCTGTCTTCCTGCAAAGATTGCTAAGCTCAACCGTTTAACCATGGAGGAACCCTTGAAATAACTTTCTGGTCTCAGGGAAACGCTACTAATAATTATTATATCTACATCTTACAGTGCATTAGTGTAATGGCCATTGGAAAGAATCTTTACATTTGTGGCCACTGAGAAGAATCTTCTGTTACAAATAGCTAAAAAGACCATTTTTTACTATTTTTAATATTAAAAGGTAGACATTTCTTATTGCTCAAGGAAGCCCTAGCTACCTCTGCGGCAGCCCTAGGGTTCCATGGAATCATGGTTGAGAAAGGCTGCTCTACAGGATTATTATTTTATTCAAGTTCAAGTCTGTTTTCTCAGGTATCTGGAACGCTTTGCTGCAACAGCAAAGCACACAGCTAAAAACTACAGTTAGGGTTACAGGTCAGCATTTATTTGTATTACATTAAATCTTTCACTGCCGGCCAGGTCCATATGGCATACAGACCTACAGCACAGCTTCTAGCAGGCCAGTTCCATATGGCATACAGACCTACAGCACAGCTTCCAGCAGGCCAGGTCCATATGCTGTATGAACCTGACATTTCTCCGTCTTCTATAAGCACATGGTTACTTCAGTAGTTATGAGCTTATAGCAAAACTGTTCAGCAGACTCTGCTGAATAAACCAATAGCTCTAGGCTAACAAGCCACTAATCAGAGCTATTTACCTAAAATGTGAACCACCCCCACTGCTTCTCTGCCCCTTTTTCACCAGCTTCTTGCTGCCTCTCCACATCTCTGCCTGGCTGCTAAAATGCCCCCCCTTCCCCCTTACTGTCCCTTTCCTCTTCTTCACCTATCTCCCACAGCACAGATTATTTCCCCTGCTAACCACGATCTCCTGTAGCTTCCATGCAGTTGCTGGCTTCCCTCCTCTGCCCTCCTTCCGGCTTCTGGTGCTGCAGGGGAGCCACAGGGGCTAAAAATATCTAAATAATTTCCCCCTGACGCTGTGCCCACCCTTCTGTGGACCCCTCTCACCAATCCCTGGCAGCACCTCCAAGCAGCTTCTCCCTCCTCCCCCCGCTGGCTGCAGCTGTTGCTGGGGCAAGAGATCGATGTCAGGATGAAGAGTGGAGGAACTCAAACATGTGTTTACCTGCCCTCTTCCTTTCCAGAATGAACACAGTGAGCATGAATGAACACAGTGAGCCCATTTTAACCCCATTTTTATGGACAAATGCTTCGCAACCGCTTGCATTGCACGTGATTGTGGGGCATTAGGGGAGCTTCCCCATTGACTTGAATATGTAGTGTTATAAGCAGGGGCGGACGGACCATTTGGAAACTCGGGCACTGCCCGAGGGTCCGGGGTCAGTAGGGGGCCCCATGAGATGCCTCTGGTACCTTTTTCATAGGCTTTTTTGAGTTTGGGCAAGCACACAGGGGCCCCATGATCCCCTATTGCTCGGGGGCCCCATGAGTTGTCAGTCCGCCCCTGGTTATTAGTCAGGTCAACTTTGCCACAGGCGTGAAGCAAAACATCACAGTATGTAAGCACATACATACTGCCCCTTCCGTTGCCTATTTCCTATTTTTGCTGACCCTAAGGTCTAAGGCCTTGTTCACATAGGGCATACAACAGCGAGGCCGTGTTTAGCTGCACAGGTGTTCCATGCATCCCCATTCATTTCAATTGGAACACAGCGACTGCATGGACACTGCTCCCAACTTGACAACCGTGTGGGTGTATGTCCCTGAACACCATGTGGGTGAATGGCAGATGGGGAGCAGCGGCTTTGTCCTTGCAGCTGCTGCATCCCAATTGACATGAATAGGACCACATGCACAGGGATGCACAGAACACTTGTGCATCCCTCTATGTAAACACAGCCCTCCATGAGCATACGCACTAGTACACCACATGTGAATGAGGCTTTAGTAGGAATTCTGTAAGTTGTTGTGTTTATGTGTGAAGGATTCAGTGTTTTTGTGTTGAAAATAGCAATTTGATAAAGATTTGCGCAATTATTTGGGGGCCTAAAAAATCAGCAGCAGTTTCTTTTTATTCTCCTGGTTTTATGCTTTAAGAAAATGTATGGTTTAGGGTGTCTTACAAACTCTGAAAGCTATAAGTAAAAATGAAAAACTACAGATTTTTAGCAAAATTTGATTGTTTACAGGTTTGCATGCCTTCGATTTTCACCATTTCACTAAAAAAGTGCAATTTAAAATTTACAAATATTTGTTATGAACTCAACACAGGTTTAGCTTTTATGTTTAGTAGAAATTTAGCAGTAATTTTTGTAAATGTTGCTGTGTTTTTATTTGCTAATAATGATTTTAGTGTATTTTTCAACTAAAATATTGCTTTGATAAACATTTGCGCAAATATCAAGGGTCCTTTAAAAATCAGTAGCACCTCCTTTATATTTTACTGGTCATGTGCTTTCAAAAAATGTATGGTTTGTGGGGGCTTTTAAAAACTCTTAACTACTTGCCTACAGGGCACTTATACCCCCTTCCTGCCCAGGACAATTTTCAGCTTTCAGTGCTGTCACACTTTGAATGTCAATTGTGCGGTCACTGAAAATCTTGAAAAAAAATGTTTTTTCTTAGTTTCTGTTATAAAATTTTGTAAATAAGTGATATTTCTCCTTCACTGATGTGGGCTAATGAGGCTGCAGTGATGGGCTCCGATAGGCGGCTCTGATGAGGAGGCACTGATGAGGAGGCACTGGTAGGTGGCACTGATGGGCATTGACAGACATCACTGATGGGCACTGAAAGGCAGTACTCATATATGACACTGATAGGTGGCACTGACTGGCACAGATAGGTGGCACTGACTTGCACTGTTAGGTGGCACGGATAGGCAGCACTAATAGGCACTGATAGGCAGCACTGATGCGCACTGATAGACGACACTGACTGGCACTGATAGGTGGTACTGATTGGCAGCACTGATAGGCGACACTGACTGGCACTGATAGGTGGCACTGAAAGGCAGCTCTGATGGGCACTGGTATGTGGCATTGATATGCACTGGTAGGCACTGATATGTGGCACTGATGTGCACTGACAGGTGGCATTGATGAACACGGAAAGGTGGCACTGATAGGGGCTACACTAATCATCAAGGCACACTTATCATCAGTGCCCTGATGATCTGTGTACATGTCCCATCTGAGTAATGCCGATTACCTGCTCTCCTCTCCTCACGAGCTGTCAGCATGACAGCATTTGCCGAAAGGCTGGCATTTCCTTATTTACATGTGATCAGCTGTGATTGGACACAGCTGATCCAATGACAGAGCCGACGTCTTCGGCTCTTTCCGTTGATCGGTGATCCGCCCTGTCCCAGGGACACAGCGCACTACTGATTGCCGCGTTGCGCGCTCCGGGGGGGGTTAGAGTGGGATGACATCATATGACGTCCCCCCAGAACCAGAGAACCGTCTTGTGCCTGTCATTACCTTATATGGCGAACGGTAGGTGGTTAAAGATGTAAGGGAAAAATATAAAAACAATGGAAAAGTTGCAAAAATGGTCTGTCCACATGAGTTTAAAAGTGAATCACGGGGCCTTGCAGCAAAAGGGTTAAACTTTTGTTACAGATACTAAATATTCTTTACAGATTCCAACACTTTTTCTGGTTCTTTAAGTGACAGATGTGGAAACCACATCTGTAGGGTTCAGACCTGAAACCTGGAATGCCAAAACAAATGAGAAACCATTATTTGGGACCACACACTTACAAAAAATGGAATTTATAAAGCAAGTAGCCAACAAAGAAAAGCATATATCTCATTGGGTCTGCTGTCCTTTCGCAAAATGAGCGTGTAAGTTTGTAACTTACTGTAAGGAACCGGTACCCCGACCGCACTTGGGTATATTCCGTTATCCTGCAGCTTCCCCTGTCCGAACACCATCCACGGACCACGCCCTTGAAATCCCTCAGGAAAATAGACAGCACCCAGCTCTTAAAGCAGAAAGCCAACTCTTTATTTTTAACACAAAACACAGAATATATACAGAGGGCGGGGAAACACAACCAGGAACAGGAAATACATCATCAGCCCGCCCTATCAGTGGGAAGGGCTACAGGGAACCACCCCAACCAACCCAAGACACAGAACAATGGGATGAAACACATGGCAAAGGATATTGACCAACCCCCACACCAATACTACTCCCACACCAATACACAAACAGTACATCCCATAATAGTTGGCTGGACAGGAAGACACAGCACAATGGGGGGTAGCACATGGCAAACAGACAATGGACAGCCATGTGGCCTAGACAAAGGAACACACACTATACACAATACTGGGACATTCACATTCACACCCTGTACCCCTTAACAGGCACAGGGTGGGTTAAACATAATGAGGGGAACATGAGCTGACCAAGCGGTCCCCCCACCCCCAAAAGTCACTCCCGTCACATATCTCCCCTTTCGGCAGGAGAGTAACGCAGGAGTAGATCCCAGACGGATGTACCCTGAAGTTACTCTGCACCTCCAGTCTCTCAATGCCAGCACCCGCACAGTACCCCATGCAAATTGTCCCACACCAAATGTTACTCACCCAGCCAACCTCTGCCTCTCCCGTAGAACATACCCGCCGCTGGGGAGAAGTACGGACTGGTCCTTCTCCCGGAAATCCTCTCAGCCGCTGGAAAGAAGACAGGGTGGCTGGGCCGCCTTCATCCTTCTGTGGGGGATCTGGGCCGACTGCCCAGCATCCCTGGGGTATCCAGATGGTGGCTGTAGTTGCTAGGCAGAGGCCAGCGGCGCTCTGCCCTGTTGCCAGCACTTCTGCTGGGGACACACATCTGCTCCGGCTAACCGTAGGGGAGGGAGGCCGGCTTCCTCCCCTCCCAGACTGTGGATCTGCTGCTGGGATGGAATTCCACTGTCACTGTCCCCCTGGTGCACAGATCCTGGCTTGGGAGGGAAAACAGTTTCCTCCACTCTGGCTGACTGTGGGGGAGAGAGGACAACAACCTCCTCTCCC